GTGTTTCATACAGAAATACATACGAGAGACAGATTGATAGAAACATACAATTTAAACACAGAAGAACATAGAGCTTTATTACAAACCATGATCCAAGCGTAGAACAGAAGGTATGCGCTGTTTTCCATTCAAGACGCTAATCCATTTCAAGTGAATGTCCGACTTCTTTTCCCGAAGATACAACCATGCCTCATTCAGGATTCAAACCCGAGCCCACTCGATTACTAGCTGAGTGTTATAACCACAATACTAGGTGGGGTAGCACTAAACTAACAAGGGGAGGGAGTCACGACTAAGGAAATTCATTTGGAGTCGATACTTGGTGTAATAGTAGTACTCCTTTAAGGTGTTCAACCCTTAATGTAATTCCGCCGAATGACCAATTAATTCAGAGAAATTAGTCTTCAAAATTCATGCTTAGCTTTAATACAATTAAGTTTGAATTTCCTCCAACGACGAATTGGCTCAGTTTGTAAAACGCCTGCCTTCAGTGCCGGCGGATAGAGCTCAAATCCCGCGATATTTTTTTTCAATTCTTTTAATTATATTTTAAAGTTAAATAAATTTATTTATGAAAGATTTATTAAATATTAAATGAAACTTTAAGTAATTAATTTGTATTTTATAAAGTAAAAAAATTACTGTAATTATATAAATGTGTATAGTAAGTTTAATAAATATATTTCTAAATAAATAAATAATATTTATAATAAAATATATAATAAGTATTAAATGATATTTTATATAAAAATTATTTACAAATATTTTCATAATGTGAAATACAATATATTACAAATAAAATATTACATATAATATAAAATAATTTGTTATATATATTAATATTATTATTATTATAAAATTAATTATTTTATAATTACATAAAATATTTAAAAAGTATTTTATAAAAATTAATTAATTTTATTAATTTTATTTAAATATTTTTATTAATTTATTTAAAAATTTTAATTAAAAATTATAATGATTTTAATTAATAATTTTAAATAATTTAATGAATAATTAATTTTAAGCAATAATTATTTTAAATAATTTTAATCAATAATAATTTTAAGCAATAATTATTTTAAATAATTTTAATCAATAATTAATTTTAAGCAATAACTATTTTAAAAAATTTTAATCAATAATAATTTTAAATAATTTTAATGAATAATTAGTTTTAGTCAATAATACTTTTAAATAGTTTTAATGACTAATTAATTTTAATTAATAATACTTTTAAGTAATTTTAATTTATAATGTTTTAAAATAATTTAAATAATAAATAATTTAAATAAAAAATTAATCTAATTTTTTTTTTACTTTCTAAAATACAAAATAATTACATAAAATATCATTTAATATTTAATAAACCTTTCATAAATAAATTTATTTAATTTGAAAAATATTTAAAGAATTGAAAAAAAGAAATTTATTGCGGGATTCGTACTCTATCCACCGGCATTGAAGGCAGGTGTCTTACCAATTGAGCCAGTTCGTCGAAAGAAAATATTTCTTTGTATAAAAGCTAAGCATGGATTTCGAAGGCTATTTTCTCCGAGTTGACTGTAATATATATATATATATA